AATCATTTTATTGGGGATTCTTATAGTTCTTATAACATTCTGTTCATTAGTTGTATCAACCATATTTGTACATATGTTGCCATCATCATTTCCAATTTTCTTTCTACTTGAGCTCTTGGTATAAGCTCATTTCCCCCTCCCTCACGCTCCCTCTCTCATGAACCATTGATAATTTATGAAAAATTTCTTTCATGTCTTACACCAATTGCTGTCTCCCTTCACCCACTTTTCTGTTGTCCTCTCCTCAGAGAAGGGATTATATGTAGATCATATAATCCCTTTCTCCCCCCACCTTCCCCTTACCCTCCTGGTATTGCTACTTTCATTATTGGTCCTGAGGGGTTTATCTATCCCGGATTCCCTGTATTTTAAACTCTTATCTGTACCCATGTACATGCTCTGGCCTAGCCAAATTTGTAAGGTAGAATTGGGGTCATGATAGTGGTGGGGGAGGAGGCATTAAAGAACCAGTGCTACACTGCACCCTGACTGGCTCTTCTCTTCCTTGTGACCCTTCTTACTGTAAGGGGATGTCCAGTTGTCTACAGATGGGCTTTGGGTCTCCAGTACATGCTCTCCCGCATTCACATTAATATGCTTTTTTGTTCTGGGTCTTAGAAGTGAAAAAAAAGAAAGAAAGAAAGAAAGAAAGCTTCTATCTATATAAGATAAGCAGGATAAACAATTCCAAGGAGAAAAGAATGGGACCAACGGTTCCTGGGCCACATCAGAGAGGGGGAGGTGGGGGAAAGGGGTAACCAACAAACCCAGGGACAAGGGAACAACACGTGATCTAAAACGTGGTGAGGAGGCCGTAAAATGCCTAGTTGGGCTTGATCAAATGCAATGTAGCCAAGAGGAATTACTGAGAGTCAAATGAAGGTGAATATGATAGTGGGACAGTAGAAAAATAAAAGGAAATAGAGGAAAGAAGTAGGAGGCAAAAGACATTTATAGAGGTTTAAATATAGACATGTATATATGTAAATATATTACTATATAACAATAGGGATCTAGATCTATGTACATATATTTATATGTTAAGTATTAAGGTAGCAGGTGGACCTTAAGCTTCTCCACTCAAGTACTCCCTCAATGCAAGAACACTTTGTTCTGATAATCTGGCATTCTGTAATGTTCACCTTCCCAACACAATCGCTGAAGACAAAGTGGGTGCATAAGCAAATGTGGTGAAGAAAGCTGATGGTGCCTGGCTATTACAAGTTATAGCATCTGGAGTCTGAAAGGCTTGAAGTTAAGCTGCTATCTAGCTGGGAGCAACAAGCCCACATGGAAGAAGCACACCTACCTGTGTGATCATGAGGTGTCCATAGGATCAGGTATCAGGCATCAGAAGACTCAAAACAAACATATTGATGCAAATGAGGGGTGCTGGGGAGTGGAGACCCAAAGCCCATTTGTAGACAATTGTCATCCCCTCACAGAAGGGTCACAAGGAGGGGATGAGCTAGCCAGGGTGCAGTATAGCACTGATGGAGCATAGATTCCTCTACTTCTTTAATATTTCCTGCCACCACCACCACCACTATCATGACTCCAGCTCAACCTTACAAATCCAGCTAGACCAGAGCATGTAGAGATGAGATAAGAGCTCTAGACACATGGAATCCAGGGAAAATAAACCCCCAGGAACAGTAATGGGAGTAGCACTACCATGAGAGTAGGGGGGAGGTGGGGAGAAATGGGGAACCGATCACAATGATCAACATATAACCCTGCCAACCCCCTACTCCCCATAATGAACAACAGAAACATGGGTTAAGGGAAACAGCAAATGGTGTATGATATGAAAATAACAATAATTTATCAAGGGTTCGTGAGGGTGGGAGGATGGAGGAGGGAGGGAGGGGAAAAAAGAGGAGCTGATACCAACTGCTCAAGTTGAAAGAAAATGTTTTGAAAAGGGTGATGGCAACATATGTACAAATGTGCCTGAAACAATGGATGCATGGATTGGTATAAGAGCTGTAAGAGCTCCCAATAAAATGATTATTAAGAAAGAGCTTTAGACCGCAAACTGAAACCATCTCCTGAGGTCATCTTTAAAGCAAAGAAGAGGTTAGTTAGTTGGTAATATCTCCCTGGAGCACTGTGCTCTTTTGTTAAAGAATTGTGTGTGAGGGCTCAACCTGAAAACAGTGATTCCAAAAGTTAGATGAGAAGCTGGGGGGGGGGGGCCTACACACTGAGGTCAATGGTACTGTCACAGTATTGGGAAGGGTGTTGCACTTCATGACAGCTCTCGAAGAATACTAGCACGTCCATCGCCAAGTTGCACATGTAGAAATTGTTAGGTTGGGATACATTCTACTGTGTATATTTCCACCAAAACAGACGTTTAAAAACATCTTGTCGAAGGAAA